GGCTAGGGTCTGGAACCAACTTCCAAGGGAGGTGGTGCAAGCTCCTACCCTGGGGGGTTTTAAGAAGAGGTTAGATGAACACCTTGCTGGGGTCGTTTGACCCCAGTACTGTTTCCTACCATGGCAGGGGGTCGGACTAGATGATCTTCTCAGGTCCCTTCTGACCCTAGAAACTATGAAACTATGAAATTATGAAATCATTGGATTGGCAGGAGATCTCAGGTGGGTCTGTTGTACAGGTCTGCTCTGAACCCAGTGCAGTTTAGCATTGTTATCAATGACTTTGATGTGGGAAGAGAGAGAATACTGCTCAAATGTTGAGACAAAACCGAACCAGATGGAGTTGCAAATACTTTGTAGAACAAAATTAATATATAAAGTGATCTTTGTAAGTTGGAAAACTGGCTCTAGGAAGCAAAATAAAATTCAGTATAAACAAATGAGGTAAGTATCACTCTGAGCACTTAAGGAATGCCCCACACAAAAAGACAAGTTGCTTTCTTCTCCTCCTCCTCCTCCTATGCCTCCTCTCCTCCTTCCCTTATCAGCTGAGTTCTTGACATCTGTCATTCTTGACATCTGTCCTTCTTAACATCTGTCAGCCACAGATGTAAGCTGGGAGGAACAGGAAAGAAAATCCAAATGGACAGGTACAAATTGGGTGGAGGGAGGGGGAACCTTTGACAGTAGCCCTGCTGACAAAATTCTGGGGATTATAATGGGTCATAAAATCAATACAAGCCAGAAACCTGATGCCATTGCAAAGAAAGCCAATGCAATTTTAGCCTGCATTAAGAGAAGCATTATAAGACAAATATGGGAAGTGATGGTGCCTCTCTACTCCGCACTAATTAGGCCTCAGCTAGAGCACTATGTCCTCATTTGAGCACTTCATTTTAAGGAAGTTGTATTGAAACTGGAGAGGATCTAGACGTGAGTGAAGAAGGTGATAAAAAAGGTTGGAATGCAAGTGTATGCAGGAGCTACGTAGTATAAGTTTGGAGAAAGGGAGATTATTGGGAAATATGACAGCAATTTCCACATTTTTGGAAGACTGAGTAACTGGGTTAAGGGATTCCACTGCAGAGGTGTTGGGTAGACCTCTGGGAGTGGGCTCTTTAAAAGACTGAGAGCCACTTACTTTGGTTCCACCCACCCAGAGCTATATATATAAAAGGTGAGGCAGGGAAAGCAAATATGTTAGACCCAGGTCTGTGAAGAGACAGAGTTCCAGAAATTTGGTACGGGGCAGCCCCCAGTGGCAGGGCAGTAGGCTGGGTAGGTTGTAGGGTGCTTGCCAGGGAGACCTGCAGAGTGGAGCAGAGGGCTGGAGAGACCTAAGGAGTGGGATGACCATGGTAGTGTAGTGAGCATTTAGCTTGGTGATATGTGCCCCCAGGAGAAGGGACTCATCAGTGATGCTGCTCAGGGCAGAGACTGTTGGACATTGCTACCCTGAACAGATTGCACAAAGGACATTGTGGAATGAGGCCTCTGAACTTTTTTACCATAAAGAAGATAGGGAAGAAATGTTCTCCCCTGCATAGAAGGCAGGACATGCGTCCGATGGGTTTAAGCTGCAGCAAAGCAGATTTAAATTAAATTTTGGGATAAGCTTCTTAAATGCAAGAACATCAGGACAAATGAACACACTGTCCAGGGAAGATGAAAGGTATTTTTCATTAGAGGTTTCTAGGAAGAGGCTGGTTGGGCATTACCTGGGTTTAGGAACTGTGCATCCTGCACCTATGAAAGGGAATTGGCTGCAGTCAGAGGCAGGCAGGCAGGGAGTGCAAGAGTGCTAAGACCCGGTAGCTACAGGCATTTTTCCCAGTGGCAGCACAGGGAAAGTGACTGATAGTGGAGCCCCCAGCACCAAATGTTGCTGAAGCCTCATGTTCATAGGCTAGATTAAATGGTTTTGCAGACTGAATTTGGCTCACAGGCCATAGGTTATGGATTCCTGAAATAAAAATCTCTTCCTAATCTGGGGTTTTCTGAGAAGAACTTTAAGCCCATATTGTCTTCAAACGAGATGGAAAAAAAAAAAAAAAGATAATTTATCATGTGATTGATCCAGTGAGATGCTGAACAAACTTAATGCCCTCCAAGTTCAGTGGGAGTAGAAGGTTCTCAGTACCTTGTAGATATGAGGCCTAAAGCAAACTTGTCTCTGATGGTACTTCATTTATTTATCTTCATTAGTATCACAGTAATACAACAACTGGCCCCAAGTGATATCAGTCACTCAGTGTGCCCAAGGTCATATGATGGCACTTGAGTAACAGCTGATGTCCTCTTTCATCCCACACTCCACCCCTGCTTTTGGGACTAGGCATGACTGGAGAAATGCACCTCTTTAAATAGGACTATGGTTATGTGGTTATGCTGCATTAAAGGGTTAATCCCAGTTGGCATCAGGCACATCATAGTTGTTTTTTTGCCAGCTGAACCCCAGTACAGAGGAGGGTCCTGATGGGCATTTCTTGTTAGCAAAACCTGATTTTCAGCTAACACTCTGCTTGAAATGGTCCCCCCCATTTTGGGTACAGAGAAGTGATCGCTCCTGAGAGCCATGCACTTGGTTTGTTCTTCAGTCTACTTCACATTATATAAAATCTTGAAATCTTTCAGCAAAAATATATGGGTGTTAAAACTTGAATTTAACCCTGTAGACTCTGGGTGCAGCTACACATGCAATTGATGTGCATGAATAAAACTCCAGGGTTTACTACTCTGGAGTTTATTCATGTGCAGCACATTGAACCTGTTTGGAGCAGCCCTGGCTGGCTGCAGCCCATGGCTGCTCCAACAGGGCTCAATGTGCTGCAGTGGAGCTGGCTGTGGCATGAAGGTGCTTCAGTGCTGGGATTCTTTCTTCAGTGCAGTCTGTAGAGATACGTGTATACTGGTATGAGAATTTCTGATAACCTAAGTGCTGAAGAGTGTAAAGGGGCAGTACCTATATTTAGCCTGAGAGATCTTTGGTCATAAACAAGGAATAGTATCCTCTCTTCTTTGGTATTATATGTTCAAGGTCTACCTTGCCCCTTTGTAGAAGCAACTGACTTAGGAAATGGCATTTTAATAAGGAAAAATGGGAGATCAAAAGAACTCAGAGGTATGGCTAGCATTTTAGCCCTCTGGACAGAGATGCTAACAAGAGGTGACAGGAGAGGGAGAGTGCCAAGTGCCAGAGAATGGGGGGAGGCAGGAGGAGGGAATGGCTGACTGCTGCTGTCACTATGCAGGTGCCCTGCATATTTGCTGCTGCAGCCACAGTGCAGGCTCTAGCCCAGTTGCTGCTACCACTTGAGTTCGCTGGAGACTGCCATTCTGATGCCACCTCTAAATTGGTACCTGGGGCTAGAACCCTGCTTGCCACCCCTTGTTCAGCTACTGAAAGACTTGGTATCTTATTGGTATTTCTTTCTGCATGTTCTGTGCAGAGAAACATGCACTCCACTTCTAGCTTCAAAGAGCATGGAAGGAAATGAAGAAAGCAGCTGGTATTTTGCTTCTTATTTATATTCTTTATTGACTGCCATTGACTGAGTGCTTGTATTGAATGCCAGGTATCAGCAGAACAGGTGGGACTACATTAGAGTTACAGCAAGATTTATGAAAAATGGTGTGAGAGATGGAGGCTGGGGAGAGCTTGGTGGGATTTTGAAGCCTCAGCATAGCGATGGACCCCATGAAGGATCTAGAAAGACAGTGGAACAGCGTGCTTATCCTTGCATCAGTTGTCACTGGGGGAAGATGACACGAGTGGCATAAACAGATACACTTAAAAACTTTACTGAAAAATTGTTGCACTGCTGCATGTGACATGTCAGTGGTTCTCCTGTTGCTTCAAGGAATTTATGGTACATTCATTTCAGGTGCACAGTGTCTCAGGCTCTTTTTAAGGCAATTAGCTTAATTCTCACTTAGAACAGAGCAAGGCTGCAGGGCTTTCTCCTGCTTGAGCCTAACATTAAAAATCGGTATATCAGGTGTTGGTGTTACTTGTGCACTCCTCAATATCTGGTCGATGTTACCTTGTACACCACAATGTATGACTGTTTCAGCAAAGACATCAGCTTGGCAGCATCCTTGTTTCATGTCATCCTGACAGCACAGTTTGTTTAGGTTTAAGCTTCAAAGACCACTAGCTGCTCACCCAACCTCTCATTCCATCCAAGGGGGAAAAAGTGAAAAGAAAAAGTAAACCCTTCTAGAATGCACTGATAGCTATGCAATGGCTCTGTGAATGAGGCCTGCGAATTGTGACAGCCTGGATGCTTCAGTAGCAGGTTGAGCTTAGGAAGAAGGAGCCGAGGTGGGCTTCTCCTCACGGGCTACAGGAATGGGTCTGTCACTGTGAATGGTATCGACATTAGACTGGACCTTGGGACCAGAGAAGGTCAGCATGCCATCAGCAGACAGGACACAGGTGACGGCAGACTGGTCCACGCTGGAAGGCAGGCGGTACCTGCGGTGGAATTCGCGGGAGATGTAGCCATGGTCATCCTGGTAAGAGACAGGAGAAAAAGAGATGGTTCAGTCAGAAACATTGTGTTACCCCACTTGTTAGTCATCCTTCACCTCTCCTGGCCCTCTGCACTGCCAGGGTGTGACTCCATATTCCAACCACTTCTTTCAAATCCAGATTTGACTTATAATGAGATCATTACTTCAGACGAGACAATGAAAGTGCATACATTATAATCTGAATTCCACTCTACTAGGAAACAAAATCTGTCCTGCCTGATATCCTGTGCAACTTTACTGAAGTCCCCAAGGCATCCCCAAGAGTCCAAGGCGACTTTTGGCCTTACTACAAAATAGATCTCTCTCAGTGTGCTGGACACCTGTGGCTGCCCTCCATTTCAGAGGGAGCCATAGGTGCTTGGCACCTCTGGAGACCAAATGTCTTGCTGATGCTGTTGGCTGAAAAAAGAAATCTTTTTAAAAAATGACAGATAATAAAGGTGATTCTTCCCCTCTGTCTTGATAGCAGCCTCAGACAAATACATAGAAAAAAATCAATTCTGATAACAAATTTTGTTTTCCCAGGAAGGATCTTTATGAATGAAAAGTTAGACCCTCTGCTAGGAATATTCATACTTCAAATTTATACTTTTGGAAATTCCCATGTCATGCATATGGTAAGTTTCCAAGCCTCAGGCCCTTACTGGGTTTTTGTTTTGTTTTTGTCTTCTCATCTAACTCAGCATATGAAAATTTTGCGTTCATTAGTGATCCTGGCTTATGCAAACCCAGCCATTCTTTGGCAACTTCAAATAACATTCTTTTTCTAGTCAGACATCAACAATGCGCGTTGTTCTTTGTCATCTGATCATCTGACTGCACTGGAAGATGACAATTTAAAATGAATAAAGACAACTGGATTATCTTCTTATCAGAAAACAAGTTTCATCTCTACCAGACTCAGGCATGTACATTTAGTTTGGTTGCTCTAATATCTGAAAAATAATGGTGTGGGAAGAAACTAAGAAAAACTATCATGTTCCATGTTTTCTCTAAAACACTATTTTCAGCTGAGGAATATTTTAAAATAGAAAAGAAACAGAGCAGAAATATTGCCCTCCCCCAGCTGAATTTTTTCTGCTTACCTGTCTTTCATTGTGCTTGCCATGGACTTCAACAAAGTCATCAATAATCTTCACGCTTAAATCTTCAGGCGAGAAATGTTTTACATCCAGCATGATTGTAAACTTGTCCCGGTCAGATCTCACCTGAAATTAAAATTGTAGAGTAAATTTTTAAAATCCATGTTAAAAATTGTGTTGATGCAAATACTGTGACAAAATAGTTCTCAGACTCGCTCTGTGACTGATTTGAGAAGGCTATAGAAGGGTCATAGAGCTAACCCAAAGGCCACTGAAATAATCAGGATTCTTCATTAACTTTAATAAGTTTTGGATGAGGTTCTGTGATTGGGAGACTAGAGTAAAATTCTAAGTCACTTTTACTGCTTCTTGTGTCTGCATCACTTCCTTGCTCTATTTTTTATCGGTGTACCTTTATTTTTCTCAGGATAGGTTTATTGGCTCCTAGGTTTGTGCTCAGAAGCTAGAGGTCGAATTATGTCAGTTTCTTGTTTCATACTATAAGGCATTTTGTGAATCCATCACTTTTTCTACTGGGCTTCTGGTAGCGTTTGGAGGAAACTTTGAAAAGTCTGGCGGAATAGGAAAAGCACGCGTATCTACATTCACTGACACTTCTGATCTGATGGTTTTGAATAAAGCTCAAAGTATAAAAAGAAAGCATGGCTTTTTTTTTTCCAATTTGTAGTCAGTCTTTTGTGAATTGTTCTTGGGATTTCCAGTGTAGGACTGCAAAGAATACAGAATGCATGAAAGGGGGAGGGAGAGCCAGAATATTCCTACTCAAGCTTGTATTTACACTGAACTCAATTACAAAAAACCCTGTTACAGAAGCAGCTAAGTTTTTTCTTTTCTTCCCACCCTTAGTGAACACAGGACTAAAGCAATTCTTTGAAGTTATTGTAAAAATGCTATAGGCAAAGCCTTTCTTTTTCTGGATGGTAACAAGGAAGATTTCTCCTGCGCTACAAATGACCTCTTGATTTTCATTGAGTCAAAAGGTTTTCCTACACCCACTCGCATCGGAGTCTTAAAATTTCAGCTTATAAATATACTTTGACAGAATCATGGAAAGTAGCAGGAGGCATGTTACTCTCCATGAACTGATAGCAGTAAAGATATTCAGTAAAGAAGTCTTACCTCAGAAATGCCTGAGTCCAAAACACTGCGGAAGAGAGAGTGCCTGTAGTAAGGGCTGATGGTGGAGGACAACAAAGGCAGGAGTTCATAATCAAAAAGACCCTCCCCGAAAAACTGGTCAAACAAACGGCTTGGAATCAGGGGTCCAAGAGCACGTTTGAACCAGGGGTGCTGAATGGTAATGTCCATGTCTTCTATTGAAGTTTAATGGTAGGAGAGAAGACAGTGCAATCACTTAGAGGACAGTGATGTCTTTGCTGGACTGCACGCTGTTAACACAGAGAACCTCCCTCTATATATACCACCTTCACAGAATGAGGGCATTAGTGGGATTTCTCTGGAAAGACATGATCTCATGATGAAGGCAATTTGGTCAGCAGAAATGTAGAGGCTGACCTGGAAATGACAGTCTGGTTAGACTCAGTGCCAGATTACTGCCTGGCCAATATCTGCTGTACTGTTTGCTTTATTACATGGAGCAACCTCTAGCCAGATGGAAAAGAGGCACCAAGCTTTACCATAAACAAGTCATTAAAATGAGATTCTTCCTGTGGGTTTCTTACAGAAATTTCTTGATGGGGTCTGTTTTGTGGATCTGTACTACCATTCTCTGCCCCTTCCTTGTCACTTCGTTGCTTTTCCTTCTGTCCCTGAAACTGGGAAGAATGTCTTTGAAGTGATATGTTTCCCCCTCAGGCTAAAGTTGTTTGACTAAGGTTGAAAGGAATCATATTTCATGACAGGTTTTCACATGTCCTAAAATCTTCAGAAAGGAAGGGGTGCCCTAGGCTTCAGTGACAGTGTTAAGAAATACGTTCCAAATTCTGATGAAAGAAACACTGATGCACAATGTCACCACTGGCAATCCCTCAACTAGAGGATGATCTCTACCACAGCTCATTGATGGGTCTTGAGGTGACTTACGAGTCCAATTTTTAAGCCACAAACCAGTCCATAGAAGTCGCAAGTCTTTCTGCAAGGGAAAGTAGGCTGCAGGCTGGGCTTCCTCTCCTTTTCCTTCCTCCACTCTCTCTTCTCTGCTTTGAGGGAAAGACACTTTACCTCAAAACCAGCTGCTGCTTGGTTGAGGTTGTGGTGCCATTGGGGTCAGTTAGCAACCAGCTCCTCCCAGCTCTTGACGTCAGCAATTGTTTTGTTGAGCTACGCCTTCAATGTGTCCTTGTAGGACTTCCTCAGGCCACCGCAAGATCTCAGGCCATTATTAAATTGGGAATAGAGTATTTATTTTGGGAGTTGAGTTAGGCATCTGCACACAATGGTCCAGCAAAGTTGGTGCTCAAAGATCATCAACTCAATGCTGGTAGCATAGGCTTCAGCAAGGATCCTAGTGTTTGTGCAGCAATCTTACCATTGATGTGGAGGATTTTCCAGAAACATAATAGATGATGTCTCTCCAGGCTCTTGAGATGATGACACTAGTCACCCATGTTTCACATCTGTAGAGGAAAGTGGGGATAATGACTGAATAGTAGACCTGGATCTTGATGTCTTTCCAGAGGCTGTGATGAAAAAAGACATGCCAAAGCAATTTTCTAAAGGAGGCATTTTCACGCTGGGTCCTGTGCTGGATCTCTTCATGAATGTTCACTCTCTGAGAGGTGGCTACTGAGGTAGGGGAAGTATCTAACTACCTCCAGGGTCTTTCCCTCAAAGGTAATTTGTGGAGGTGGATCACATTCATGGCCCAGGGCAGGCTGATAGAGCACTTTAGTCTCCACAATGTTGAGAGGGAAGCCCAAAGGTCGAAAAAGATCTAGAACAGTCTAGAGGTTTTCCTCAGTGTGCTCAAGGATGGCATAGTCATTAGCATACTGAAGGTCAAGGATGGTTATTTTTTAAGTACTTTAGTCTTTAAGCGAAGACATAGCAGGTTGAAAAACCCTCCATCCATTCAATATTCACTCCAATTCCAGGGGGAAGGCAATCCTTAATGAGAACCAGATTGACTGTCAAAAAAAATGGAGAACAGAGATGGGGTGATGACACATCCTTGCTTGACCCCAGCTCAGATGACAATCCACTACATAAAACTGTCACAGTCATCTGGTTGTAAAGATGCCTCAGGACCTTGATATACTTTTCAGAACATCCAAACCTGGCCAGTACTTTCCATAAGGCTTCACAACTGATGAAATCAAAGGCCTTAGTGAGGTCAGTGAAGGTCATATACAGGTCCTGGTATTGTTCCTAACACTTTTCTGGGACCTGCCAAGCAAAAAAATCATGTTAACTACCCCACAGGATGGCCTGAAACCATACTGAGATTCCAGTAGGATTTCCTCAGCAAGAGGTAGAAGACAGTTATGGAGGATGTAACATGCAGTCAGTGTAGTTCCCGGAATCAAAAAAGGTCAATCTTGGATAGTTTTGCCAGAAGAAAATCAAAATTTTGTTTATCCAGCATGACAATTATCAGAAAAGACTTATTGAGAGCTTTTTTTCTTTCAGATCCAGGAGTTTGGGATAAATCCATTTCTTCATCCAGCTGATAGCATAAATCTCCCATACACGTATACTTTTTCATGTATTTTCTTACTAGATGCTTTCTAATCCTTGTATACACCTCCTAAATTTTGACACAGTTGGTTAGGTTCATTTTGTATTTATTTTTGAGATGTTAGTATCAGTCAAAGCAAAGATTCCATGTTTATTAGTTTGTCCTACAGGGCAAAGTGGTTATATCATGATATCATCCATGTGCTCCATTACACCAGCATTTTGTGATACAGCACCATCATACTGGGCGTCAAACTTCTCCCAAGAAAATCAGGAAAAACTCCAAGTCATGCCATTATGACAAAACAGACATCTCTACAGCAGTGAACTCTTCTAGCAGTAGTCAAACCAGTTCAATTGATCCAATGTAAAAACATTTTTTTACAAAATAAACAACCCCTGTAATGTAGACCTGTTTCAAGGTGGCCTCTACCTGAAATGGTTTCAAGATGTGATCTTGGGACTGGCTCAGTAAAAATAGGTTAGGTTGCCTTTAAGACCACAAATAACATTATCAAAAGCACCTTATGACCCTAAGTCTTAATTTTTGTGTTCCCCTCCCCCACATTTCTTAATTATGAACAGAGATCCTGGTTTTCTCTGATACCCCCCCCCCGCCAATTTTTGGATTAAAAAAAGTAACCCAAAATCCACATTTTTCCATGATTAAAATGAGACACCACTAATATATAGACTTATATATAGTACTGTTTCATTTAAAGCATGCAAAAATGTGGATTTGGGGTTACTTTTTTAAATCCAAAAATTGGGGATTTTTTGTATGAGAGAAAACCAGGATCCCTGATTATGAGCCTAAGTCCTATTAACTTTCAATGAGACTTAGTTTTCTAAGGACTAAAGCCACAGATGGACTGAGACACTGCTTCACTTTCAGAAAAACAGAGCTGGAAGCAACCCTAGGAGGTCAAGGTAGGATAAGCCCTGTCTAAACTATCCCAGACAAATGTCTCTCTAGCCTGCATTTAAAAGCCTCCAATGGCAGAGATTCCCTAACCTCTCTAGCTCATCTGCTCCAGTGCTTACCCACTCCTACAGTCAGAAAACTTTGTAATACATCATTTGTAGGTATCCAGCTGCCTAGTGAAATCTTCACCTCAGAGGTGAGCACCCGACCTCCCCATTCGGTGGATAGGGTGAGCGAGATGCCTCTGTGTGGGATTCACAGAAAGCTAGCAAGCTGGAAGTGGAGCTGCCTAAGACGGCCAGTAGGAAATGGCAGTGGGTTTTAGAGTCCAAGTCAGCTAATTCCGGGTTGTAGAGAGGTGCCTAGCTCTGCTCAGGATTTGGAGCTATAAATCGTCCCCTGCAGTTAAGCTTCTAAACTTGATAGTACTTTCTCACAAGTAACAGAGAGAAAACAAGACAGACTTCCATCCCCAGTATTTAGGCCTCCCTTGATAGTGCCCTGTGTTTAAACCGCGTTGTCCCAAATCTATCGTTTTCTTTGGGGAAAATGGATGAAAGGAAAGATGCATTTGTGACTCCAAAACCAGGCGCTTTCAAAATATTTTTTTCTTTTCAAGAGATCTTTTAGGTTCAGGGTTAAGCAGCAGAGTTGCAATGCAATGACACGTGGAATTCCATTTGTCCCATCCTGAGTCAGATACATGCTAACCTATGTTTAATGAGGTGAAGAGTTACAAAGTGTGATGGAAGCTTGAACTCCAATGTAGAGCAAATGGGAAGATTTAGGAATCACTTGGACTGTGCTGCGTGAATGATTTGGTCTGCTGGTACAGTAGCAAGTAAAGAAGAGAAGTAAGAGATAATGTCCCAAGGCCGCTATACATGCATTCTGGACTAAAGCCATGCATATTGTAATATGATCTCTGTAGTGCACTGGAAAAGTTCCCTTCATCTTTTAAATCCCTGGCTGGGATCAAACAAAATAGATGTATCTTTCAGGATTACCACAAGTAGCAGTGTGCTTTATGAGTTGACCCTTAGTTTTAAAGAGACTGCCAACAACCACAGAGGTACTCAGGAAAGCTGTTCGTTCTTCACTTTTTCACTTCCCTGCAATAATTTCCCATATGAGAAAGCTACTCTTCTGACATGGCCAAGATCCTCCTGAGCCTGCAGAACAATAGAAATATAGGACTGAAAGGGACTTCAGGAAGGTACTTACTCCAAACCCCTGCTCAAGGCAGGCTCATTCCTGTCTAAACCTTTAGAGTGTTTATCTATCCTGCTCTTAGAAACTTCTAAGGATGAAGATCCCACAACCTCTGTGGCTAATCTATTCCAATGTTTATCCACACTCATAGAAAGTTCTTCCATTCTAAATGTCCCTTGTTGCAACTTAAGATCATTGCTTCTTGTCCTGTCCCCTGCAGTCACAGAGAGTAATCCATCACAATCCTTTTTATAACCAGCCTTCAGGAATTTGAGGTCTGTTGTCAACCGCCTCCATCCCAGTCTTCTTTTCTTTAGACTAAATAATCCCATTTCTTCCACACTTTCCTCATAAATCACATTCCCCAGAACTCCAATTGTTTTTTGTTGCTCTCTGTGGAACTTAAATTTCTGTACATCTTTCTTGAAGTGCGGTGTTTAAAACTGAACATTATACTCCTGGTGAAGCTTCACCAAATGCTGAATGCAGTGGAAAAATCACTTCCCTTGACTTGTAAGTGGAAGACTTGTTAATACAACTCGCTATGGTATTGGCCCTTTTTTTGCAACAAGAGCACACAGGATACTATAACTGAAAGTACTGCAGCCTAGCGATTCATTTCCCAATCTGTATTCGTGCATGAGACTGTTCCATCCTAAGTACAGGACCTGGCATTTGTCCTTAGTGAATTTCATTTGGTTAATTCAAAGAAAGATTTGATTAAATCCTGAGATCCCTGTCCCTCTCTCAGCAGCACAGCAGAAGAAAGGGGTGTCAGACTCATAGTGGACTCCA